GGGGGGGGGGGGGGTGTGTGTGTGTGTGTGTGTGTGTGTGTGTAGTTATTGGCTGTGAGTTTGAATTTAGTATATAAAAAAAAAGCAAAAGAAACAGACGGAACAACAGAACAAGTGATAAAATAAGCTCTTGATCCTGATTGCGTAACGTAGCAGTATCACTTTGCTCTGCCACGTACTGCAGATAATACAATGTAGTTTCAAATTTCAAACAATGATCCCTTGTTTATTTGTTTTTTATATTCTCACTGGCCTGAGTCGTCTCAACACTACGCAGAAGCAGGGAATTTTAAATGACCTGCCAAGCTAATGTTAGCTGTAAGACTATAGCGACTACAGTTCACTATGCTTAAGACCAAAATCTGGCATTGGCGCAATTATGCTTTTCCAAGGGCAAAGTGACATTGAGCGTCTACCCTGCTTCTGCGTAGTGTTGAGACGACCCAGATTCTTTGATCAACGCACAGATTTTCCAGCTACAGCAAAATCCCGAAAATAGACTGAAAGATTTAACAAGTGAATGAAAGGAAGGAGGAAGATTTAAGCAGTCTTAACAGGCCAGATTTTAGCCAATTTGCAAGTGAAAATGCTTTGCCGATCAATCCACCATAGATTCAAAGAGGGACAATATGGTTGAGAGTACAAAATGACAAAATGCGCAATCTGGAAGGTTCCTAATTCAACTTATTGCAGAGAATTACCGTAAACATTCGAGCAGTTAGGGAGGCAAGTTCAGATTCTTTGCTACGGAATACCGTTAAGTTTATATATCTCTTTATCTCTCTCTCTTTTCTTTTTTATACGTATGCAGTTCATTGAAGCGGCGAGTTTGGATCTTTCGGAATGTACAGGTTTCTGTAAAAACAGGGAACATTGGAAGCACTACATAAAAGACCCCATCGCAAATCCGGTAGTTTTGACACCTTTATCATTTTGGCGGTAGAACAAGGCTGCCAACCCATCTCCATGGTTTTAGTAATGATCATGAAGAAAATTAGTAATTTCCCATAAAAATTAGTAATAGAGCTCTCATTTTCAAATTACTATATTACAACGAACAAAAATATATGTCTTAATTACACAAAAATAGGGCTCATCGAAAATTAAATAAATGTGAAGGCCAAAGTTTTGCTTTAAACTCACCTTTTAAATCACAAAATGGTAGATGACTGATGTAATGGATTTACTAAAAGCTCAATGTCTTGAGTTTTATTCTGCATTTGAATGGTTAATTTCTGTGCCTCAGTTTTTGTTCTAGACAAGCGTTTGTAGAGTACCCAATTTGTCCTTCTATTTTAGTTACATATTTATGAATAAATTATTGCTTATTTAAAAACAGCAAGATAGATCTCTTCAAAATCTGTGTTAAACTGACTATGAATGTCATGTTATTTACCATGAGAAATCTTAAATCTGCGCTCATAGTAATAGTCAAGTTATAAGAGAAGAAAGATCCACATCTGCATTTTTTAAACTAAAGACACTCAGCATTAGCTCTTGTTCTACCATTTTAAACAAGAGAAAATTACTCTGTGTTTGTCCATGAATCAAGCTGTGTCTGTGGCAGCTTGCAGACTGCTTACGGAGTGGCAGGATAGGGGCGAACAGGCTATTTCTGTGGCAATGAAACCGTTTAGAGTGTTAGGCATACAGTCAAACCTGTGTAAGACGGCCACCCATTGTCAAGGAGAAAAGTGGCCGTATAGATAGGTGGCCGTCTTAGGCAGGACTGATCAAGATGGAGAAAACAAACCATTCCTTTCTGAGAAAGCAAACCATTCCCATCTGAGGTCCCAATCGAAAGTAGCCGCCTTGTTGCTGTTTTTATTATTGTTGTTGTTGTTGGTGGTGGTGGTTTGTATTTTGTTTGCAATTTTTATTTTGTTGCTGATTTTACACAAGGGTGACAATAAAACGAAATGTATCGGACGAGGAAGACTGAGCACAAAGTCACAAAGTATACAGACCCGGTAGGGGAACTCTTGTGTGATTTCGGAAAGTTTTAGTGCCCTCTTGGCTCAGGGTAGACCTACATTCTTAAAGATCTATGGCCTAGGCTAGGTCTAGACAGACAGACATGATAAATCGTTGATCTAGATCTAGTTTCAAGGCTAGCCTAGACCTAGATTCTAGATCTAAATGAATTTAAATTGCGGATGTCTTTTCGATGAACGATTGTTTTTCCTCCGTTTTGGAGTTGGAGGAATCACACTTTGAAGAAAATAACAATGTCATAATTTCAATCGAGCAGTCACCCTCTCTATTTCTCTGCCTCTCTCTCTCTCTCTCCTCTGTCTCTTTTTCTTTGACTTTGTTTGTCTCTGTCTTTCTTTCTCCCCCACCTACTTTCCCATTCTATCTTTCTCTCTTTCCCTCCTACCAACTGGGGCATGTCATAGGCTATTCCCCTATTACTAGCTCTCGCTCTCTCATACACCCACACCACTGGCCACCGGGTTTGGGCGCTGAAACTTTCCGAAATCACAAAAGAGTTTCCCTACCGGGTCTGTATAATTCGTGACTTTGTTCCCGGTTACCGGATCTGTAAACACTTCGTTTTTAAAAACCACAAATAGGCCTTTAAAATGCAAAAAATAATAACAAAAGTAAAAGAGCGGACCATTGGAATCAGTGGCACTGCTGCACAGCGAGATTCAATAGTTCCTGCTTCGTTCATTGTTGGGTCCACCAAAGTTCAATCTTACCCAAACGCAATAATCACATAAAAAGATTCAGTGACACCGTTTTCATTATTTGACTAACCTCACACATCGTCTCGTTCACATCATCAAATCTGAAAATAAAGCCTGTGATGAAGCAAAGCGCCAGTGACACACCCGGCAGACCGACAGTGACGACTGCGAATGTCCAAATAGGTATGTTCATATTCAGTTCATCCACTGTTCCCTTTCTCTTGTCTTTACCCATTCTTGCAGAGCTAAGTTATTAAGACCAAGAAAAAGTATTATATTGTTTTCTACGACGCTTTATCATGTGCGCAAGTGGTCTAATTTATGACACCGTCGGATTTGCATCCGCTGCTAATCTTCTGAGGGAATGTTACAGGAAGTTGACTGTTGTTGATGGACTACACCTTTGTAGGCCTATTAAAATTTCAAACCAGATTTCACTTCGCATCAAAAGACAATTCCTTGAATGACTTGAGGATTAGTAAAGAAAAATAAAAAAATGTATGATATCTGATCATGTGCAATAATGTCAAATATAGAAGTCAATATTCTCTTTGCCAAAAATCAGCAAACATGTTCATTTTTTGACAATCAATGTTGTGTTTTGTTACAGTTCATTTTCCGATAAAACATTTTTGTTTTTATAATTGAAAAAAATGGCGACCCCCATGCAGGCAAGGCAACTTTCGATTTCATTGGAGCGAGCAATATTTTGTTTTGATTTTTTATCTCACAGGATTTTTTATCTCACAGGATTTTTCTATGTAACGAAAATGATAGTAAAATAACTGTGATTCTTATATTGCTCCTGAGGAGGTTTAAGTTGGGATGCAAAGAGAGGGGCTCTTTGGAAATTGCCTTCCCGTTTGTTTACATATTAAGAAACAAGTGATTGCTATTATTAGAGTGTATACGCCTAGTGTATAATGTATGGTAGTGTCAATTGCCACCGAGTGACGCGGTGGCAATTGACAAAAATTGACTTTTTGTCAATTGCCACCGAGTAAATTGGAACTCTTTTGCGTTTGTGGGTAGATCTAGCTTATTGTGCTCGTCGCTCGAGTGCTTGGTGTTGTGCGTTCGCCTCTCTGTCCCTCTGTGTGTGCGTGTGTGTTTTATTCTCAGCAGTTTCGAGATGGAAAGGAGTTTTGTCAATTTGTTGTGTCGTGGCAGTGATTTGTTATTGATGACGATCTGATTGGTTGTTCCCCGTAATTACTAATA